AACCGAGGCCCAGAGAAGGTCAATCATTTACAACTCTCAGCAGCAGACCGAGGTGTTCAACCCAGACCCTCTGACTTCAGAACCTGTGTTCTCAATATGACCCCACCAACCTGCCTGTCAATATTATGTTCTTTTTCCAATTATGCTCTTACTTTTGAAAATTCCTCTCTAGCAATTATCCTCGGGGCCAATTTATTGGTCACAGAAGAATACTTGTCTCAATAATTCATAATCACTCCATGTTTTATTTTTAAATATGATAACATCTTGTTATTAAAAATGTGATCCCATTATTCACTGTTCTAGTAACTATCTATGGAAGATAGAAGTAAATAAGAAAAAAGTAAAAATAAAACAGACCCTGGCACCAAGGTCCTGACGGTCTCAAACTGCAAACATTTATTCCAGGCTCGCAGAGGCAAATGTCAGAAAAGTTCAAAGATATGCTAGTTCTTCAGAGCCCGATAAAAATGCGCATTGATTTTTAATCATATTAGAGAACATGATATATTGTAAGATATATGTACGAATATTATTGAGCCACAAAGATATGCTGCTATTTGCAACAGCATGGATGAACCTGGAGGACATTACTCCCAAATGAAATAAGCAAGACAGAGAACGACCCAATAAAAAGGTGATTTCATAGAAACAGTGGTGCCAGGGGCTGGAAGAAGGGAACATGGGGTGACAAAGGTCAAAGGGTACACATCTTCAATTATAAGAACAAGTTCTCAGGATCTAATGTACAACATGACTACAGTTACTCGTGTGATACTATACTGTATACTTGAAACTTGCTGAGGACAGATCTCAAGCATTCTCACGACGACAACAGAGTAACTATGAGGAGTGATGTGCTAACTGTCCCGACCCAGCCCATCGTCATTCTGTGCATTTGCAGTATATACAATTATGTTTCCATTTTTCCCAATTACTCCTCAATAAAGATTTCTTAAAAGGCATTTTCATACAAAGAAACGAAAAACAAAAACAGGATGCCTTCACTTCAAAATTAAAAATATGTGTTAGGATTCTGTCTGCCTGCTACTCTGGGCTGCAGGGAAACAACGGTGAGCAAACAGACAGCAGCCCTGCGGTCCCGGAGTTGGTGCTGTGGCGGGAGGGACCCGGGTCAACCGATTAGAATACCACCTCATGCCAGGTGGCGGCCAGAGCTATGGGAAAGTAAAGCAAGGTCAAAGGATAGAATCTGAAGGGGGTTGCTACCGGGGGCAGGCGACCAGGACAAGCTCTCTGTGGCAGCGACATTTCCGCAGAGACCAGAGGGAAGTAAGCAAGTCAATCTGTCCCCAAGTCGGAGCGACTTGGAGATCCAAAGGAACAGCAGAGGGGGACCGTGGTAGAGGATAACAAATGTGTCACCGTGTAAAGGAGCAATTTCCTTTATAATATATGATTTCAGGTACTGTTCATAATTGTGCAAGTATTGGACCATTCATAAAGCAAATATTTCTTATGCATCTATAAAATACAAGATTCTGGGCTCCTGCTGGGGACAGTGATGAACAAAATCATGGTGGCCTATCACAAAACAAAGAAAACTTCAACTTTGTGAAGGAAAAGGGCATAAAGTGTATAAACCAGGAGAAGTGAGCCCTGCGGTGGTGGGCAGGGAGGTGGGGGGACGGGCAAAGGCCCTGTGGTCAGAGGGAATAGAGATGCGACAGCTGGGAACTGCTGGAGTCAAGTGAGGGCTGAGGTAAGACGGGATGACCAGGCAGAGGCCAGAGCACGCGGGGGTGTCTGCTTGTAGCCACACTGAGGACTTGGTCTTTAAATTGGGAGCAACTGCAAACTACTGAAGGCCATTTAAGTTTCAAAGTTCTGAGTATGTTACATCTTTCTTAAGAACTTACGAGGTACAGCCAACAGCTGGGCATGCTTCACTTTGTCCCTGCTTGTCTGGCTTTACCGACAGGGTTCTTTTGATCCATCCAATGCAAACTTCGCCAGCTTTTCTTTCAGTTATCTAATGTCATAACATGAATGGGATTGCACTGGGCTGTACAGTCTCAAAGAGTTCCCATTCCAGGATCAGGGACAGTTTTCCACTTTCATTAGATCATTCTTGCTTATTAGTCAGAAAGCCCAAATACATGTTCTCTAAAGAGCTAGCCTAAAATGTTTACCAGAGCTCAGACTCTAAAATCTGCTCTGAAAATGCAACTGAACATAGTTTGCAGCTTTGGACTCTGGAATCGGAATAGGACATTGAGATGTAAATGAAACCAAGGACCACATTTGGAAATTATTTTCCATGAGAAGAATAACAAAGACCTGCCTAATACGGAATCAAGTCAGATGAAGACAAGGAGATTCTATTGACCTTCTGTTCTGACACAACCAGTCCAGTGCCCACACACCACTCATGGAGCAGCTGAGATACAGAATAAAGAATACTCTGAGGTTCTCCCTTCAAGAGTGATAAAGAGAACTTTCTTCCATTAAATAAGTTTATATCTGAAGACGCAAAGGTAAAAGAAAATATCAAAATGGCATGGGAACGGCAAACTCATCACACTGTGGGGACTCTGGAGGGAAGGGATATGCATCCCAGGCACATTCATAGGCTCAGAGAAGCGCAGAAGATCATCACACAGAGATTACAGAACTCGGAAGGAAATACGCTGGGGATGGCTAAAGGGGCAATTCAAGAAAAAGGCATGAAAGTGTAAGACTCATATCGGGGATTATGAAAGATACCTATCTGTTTTATTTTTGTCCAATTTACAAACTCAGAGAAAATTAAAAAACAACTGGACATGTCAAATGACTTATTAGGAAACATCTTAAATGTGGAACAAATAGAACTTCAGAGGTTATAACAGCGGACAGTGTCGGGACCCTGGCCAGGTCCCCTGCTACTGAACATTTGCAGGGCAAGTCCCTGGTACCACACTGTAAGCAATGTCCCTGAGTCCCCACCTGAGGGCTTTCTCTCAGCCCACCCCCGGCAGGCCACAAGTGCCTAGGACTGCTCCCCTCAGGGCAGCCCTCAGCCACAGACTAGTATTCCCACTCACCAATGGGAAAAGCACTCTACCCTTTCAGTGGGCACATGGGACAACTCTGCGACATCTATGCTATCCCCCGGACAACAATCCAGGATTCTGACTGTTAACATTCCCTGTACTGGCTACTTTCCCTTCTCTGCCTCATTTCCCCACCCTCCTACCAGCGTTTCTTAGGACCACCTCCCAAATAAACTATTTCACTTGAATCCTTATCTTCTGAGTACCCCAAAATAAGAAAGTAAGAGAATAACAGTTAGGGCTGAGTTTTTTTTTACTCCATGCTCAGTCGGAGACATCAAAAACTAGGCGGAAAGATGGTTTATGAGCTAAGTCCATGGTGAAACCCATCATACAATGGGGCATTTCTGTCAACTAGGAGATGGGAGACGGAGAAAGGAGTAAAAATAATTTTTAAAGCAATTTTAAAAAAACAAAAAGCTTGGTATAAAGATTAATGGTAATAAGATACACTGTATATGTTAATAAAACAAGTGTGATATACCTAAAGGGAATACCAGATTAGCTATATTAGCAGGTTCACCTTTCCTAGCTGTTCAGTTAATTTAAAAATTAAAGGTAAATGTGACTCTGTCTTTGGGCTAAAGCAAAATACTTGTCATGGTTTAGATTTCTTCCTACATACTCTACAGATTCCCCCCCAACAAACACACACACAGTTATTATATTAATAATTCTAAAATTGAGAAGAAATCTGTTTATACCAAGTATGACCAACTGAAATTTGAGTATGTATTTTATTTGTTCTATAAATTTAATTTACAATCAAATAAGTTCAGGAATATATGATTACTAAACACTTTTATAATTAAACTTTTATTATTTCTGAAAAAGAATGCAAAGTAAAAAAAAAAAAAAGAAAATTATTCATCCAGAAGAAGCAATGGGTGGATGAGCCTTGTTGTTAGATAAACTTATAGTTTTCAAGGTAATATATTAGCCTGGCCACCAACCTGTGTATCTTCTCTCTAAACTAGTTTCAAGAACAAAGAGGCAAGGAATTTCTAGTAAAATAAGTAAAAATTCACCCTCCCAAGATATTATTCTGAACATTTTGTATGAAAGGAGTTTGTGAAATGATGCTGTTATTTGCAGATAATATCCATTCTCCCTTGAGAAGATTTGTTCTGAATTCCACCCCCAGGACAATTGCATAAGAATACACTAGATTTAAAAAGAAGTGTCTTGATTGCTTGACCTGATGAATAATATTCCAGAATATTTCCTTCAAATTTGTTATGTCTACCGACTACCACATGTGTTTACTAATTTCAACAGATTCAGACAAATTATATGTGATTAGCAAAAGAAGATTCTCACTTCAAAATAATTAATAGATTGCAAATAAATCTTCAAAGTATGCTAAAGTAGCTACATGTGTTTCAATTCATCAAAATATAAACACTCATTTACCCAAGAAACAACCAGCCTTGTAAATATATGTCTAAGTACATATGTCATCATTTATTCATTCATTCACACAATAAATTTATTAAGCACCTATTATTTGCCAGATGCTGGAAATTAGGACATAAAAAAACCCTTCCCCTGACCTTGAATGCTTATAGGCAAAAAATGAGAAAAAGAATCACAGATGTAAAAAAATGTTCCAAGTGGCATGCTGGGTAATGAGTCTACTAGCTCATCTGCACATTCAACAGCTATTGCACACCCACTATGTGCCAAGGATCATTTCACTTTCTAAGTAATAAAAGTACTCCCTACAAGGGACAGAGGAATGATAATTTGTTATTGTTGTTGTTATTTTAAACACACACACAATGATGTATAATTCTATAATGTGTATTACTTGGGCAATTGGGAAAAAATTAACTAAGTAAGTTTCTTTTGCTAAATTTGTCTTTCGTTTGTGAGCCAAGAAAAGAAATGAAGGCCAAGCTAGTTAAGTATGATGTTTGAGAGCTATGAAATAATTGTGCTTACCAGGAATACAGGATTGTTCCAACAACTGATGTGAGTTTACTGTTTTCTTGCTTTTGCTTTGCCAGGCCAAAGTCAGCTACAATTCACACACACAAAAAAACAATGTTAGTATTTTTCCCCAGAATTAGCATCTTTCCTTAGGTTTCGAGGTTATGTACGAGAGCTATTACAGTTTACAACAGGAAGCTTTGCTTTTTGTTAACCTCCCGCAGAATGCCCTGTGTGTCAGTCTCCCACACCACTGCCGGCCTTGATGAATGGCACACGGATCACAGTCCATTATGCTATGTATTCTGACATGAGATTTGTCATTAAAAAAACTAAAGTCTTGCTCTCTAAACATATGACAAACTACTAAATGAACTTCTGATTTCACATTTAAATGATCTTTTATCACTTCGAATTAATAGAATGAATCTACTATTTTGGCATATGGCAGTCATGATCGCACCTGGCCAAAAAATAACTGAAAATCAAAGATAGGGTACATGAATGACTAATCACCATGAACATCTGAAAACCGGAAGTTAAATGGCATTTATTGGTTCTAAATCACAGTAAATATGATGTGCAAAATCATCTAAAAATATTTATACGTCAACAAATAATTTGGATTTTTAATTTAGAACACCAAATATTTATATTTAATATTAGACCTAGCTGAACTTTGCAAATCACCTACAGATTCTTTTTTCTTTTTAAACCACTCAACAACCCTGGTCAAGGTGGTAAAAGTGCAGTCTTCATATCCTCATACAGATTTACCAACATTTCAAGAGATTTACTTACCAGGATTACACCGAAACACAGCACTGAACTAGAACAAGAATTCAAGTTGCTATGCTAATAAGGTTTGATGTTCACAACATCACTTTGTGAAGTGCACCAAATGCTTATGGAATTTCACTGCAACAGAGTATTTGATTCTTTATCTGTGTCGTTCAAATTGAAAATATTCCAAGTAGTTTGACTTCAAATAATAAAAATTCCCATTATTGCCCTGGCCCGTTTGGCTCAGCGGTTAGAGCGTCGGCCTGCGGTCTGGAGAGACCCGGGTTCGGTTCCCGCTAAGGGCACGTACTTCGGTTGCAGTTTGTCCCCAGCCCTGGTTGGTCGTGTGGGTGGCAACCACTCGATGTGTCCCTTCACGTCGATGCTTCTCTCTCTCTCTCCCTTCCTCTCTCTCCCTCCCACTCTATCTGTACAAAAAATGGAAAAATACCCTCGGGTGAGGATAAAAAATAAAAAAAAATTCCCATTATTAATAACCATACCCATTTACTAAACAACAGCCTTGAACTAGTACAAATTTAGCTGCTTCCATGAGTTGCCGAAAAATAGGTGTTATTACAGTTAATGAGGACTCTGGAATTAGACAGCCTCACATCCTGGCTCCATCATGTGCTACCAGAGTAATCCTGGGCAAGTTATTTAATCTTCCTTTACAGTAGTTTATTTGTAAAAGAAAGATTATAATAGTGTAGTATAACAACAAAATTTGAATAAGTTAAAATATGTAAATGTAGTATAATATAGTATTGGACAACTGATGTGTATCATTATTTAATTGTTATACTGTTTTGTAGATAAGGAAACTGAGGTTCAAAAAGATTGAGTAACTTGCCCAAAGTCTCAAAAGGAGAAATTAACAGTCCAATGTGAAGCTGGGGTTGCTTGACACTAAGCCCAATTCCTTATCAAACACAATACTTCCAGACCAAAAAATCAGGCCCAGATCATCTCAGTCACAAATACAACCAACACTTAAGGAATTAATACCAATCTGCACTTATAAACTTAAAACTCTACAAAGACTTCTGATGAACACAAAGACACGAGGCTAAAGTTCTAACAGATATATAAAACTGTACATGACCTAGGTTTTCAGAAAGGCCTTTATGACCACACTATAAAAAATGTGCCCCCTTCAATACCCTTCTACAACATGTGATTAATTCTTAATGGCTTTAATTATCTTAAATAATTTTTATTTATGTAAGATTCATTTATATGTTTAGGCTCTGTCATTCTTAACTATATTCAAGACCTCAGAGAGGAAGGACTTTATGTCTTTTATCACTATAGAATAACAGATATCTTTTGATACATACATAGATATGTATGCATATAGATGTGTCTATCAATGCATCATCTACTTATCTATTTAACTATGCATCTAACAAACGAGTGCTTTCTGAATTCTAGGTAACTTTATGGTAAAAACACATCATTTCAGTCTCGGACATCATTTTTTCAGTGTGAGATTTGTTTCTGGATACTATTACTTGGAATAATGGAACTTTACACATGTAGTTGTAATATTAAGTAGAATGCTAAGGGTCAGATCCTTATTTGCTTCAATATTTGCTCATTTTATATGACCTCTTGGCAATATAAAGAAACTGGTGGACCTGAGAAAAAATATTCTTGCTTTCTTAATAACATGAAGGCAATATATAGACTGAGAGAAATCCCAGAAATTTCGTGGCTACACTGCCCACTACAGATGCTATGAGGGTCTGTAACACATGTGACTCGATGCTCTGTAGTCTTTTAAGAGCACTCAAAGTTCTATGTCAGCCCAAACTCAAACAGACGCTGCATTTGGTTAATAGCAAGTAAACCCCAGAACAGGTTCAAGGCAAGTTAGGGCAAGGGACCTACAAAAGCCATAAGTAGAGTCTTTATATACATATTTGACCAGGAGATTTTACAGGTACATGAGATGATATGCATATAAGGACTCTGATTTACCAAAAAAGTATAATGTTAATTCATTTTCCTATAATGACAAATATTTCTCAGCAGTAATTGAGCCAACCAATAACAATTAAAATCCTCTAGTTCTCTAGAAACAATGGCATAAAAGACTGGTCTGATTTGATTCCTCAAGTTTTGGTGGCATTCAGAAAATTAAAATCTTTCATACCTTTGGGTTACACTGTTTGCTGAAGTGACACTGGGAACAACTTGCATCTTCCACTTTGGGTACGAATTACTACCTTAATTGTTTATTCCTCTAATATTAAGCACTCTTCCAGAGCAATCTTGGCTATTATATGGAGAACTCTCACTCTCTGATTATTACTATTTGTAACTGGCTTCTGAATATTTCCACCTGGATGTGTTTAGTTTCTTAGCTCATCACTTCATTCACTTATTCATTCATTCTTCTATCCATTCACTTATTACGTGTCCTCAGAGGAACAGAGTCAAGGACATCAGTACCCCTCACCTCAATAAAGAGATGGCAATAAACCAGTGCCCTATGTGCTACGAGAAAAGGAGCCCAGAAACAGAACGTATCAGATGTGGACATCAAAGATGCCACCTGGAGGAATGGAGTAGCAGGAGTGAGGATGGGCACTCCAGGGAGAGAGAGTGACATGTTCGAAGTCACAGAGGTACACAACCACAACCTGGTCTGGTCAGGAAAGAGCAATCTGTCCTATGAGACCAGAGCAAAGGGCTAGAAAAAGATCATAAAGAAGGGCCTTGGGTGTCCTAAAGAATCTAAACTTTATCTCAAATGTCATAGGGAGATACTTGAAGGGTTTTAATCAGGAAAAGGATATAATCAGGTTTCTAATTCTGTCCAGTCCCTTATACCTTAAAGCGCCTCATCCTATTCTCTGCCAATGGAGTCGCGATCTTCACAAAACTCAGACTCTTTCTCGACTGTCCTCACACTCCAATTAACTGGCCACCAAATCTTTTCAATTCTGGGTGACAAATAACTGCTGAATCTCGTCCTTCCACCCTATCCTCTTCTGCTTCCATGAATAAGACCCACGTCATGTCTCCCCTGGACAACTGCGAGAGTCTCTGGAGCAAACACTGTGGGCCAGCTCTCCAAAAGCCAGGGGCTACCCCCACCTGCCTTTCTCGTCTCCAACTACAGAGACCGGATGCTCACCTGGGCAGTCTCCCTTACAGCTGGGGGTGGTCACATGACTTGGCTTCAGCCAACATAATGCAAGAAGCCTAATAGGGACCTACTGGGAAAGATTTTCTTTAATGATAAAAGGAGGCAGGCATTTGAAGACATTTTTTTTTTTTTTACCCTAGCTTCTTGTCTTTGAATAATGATGCCTGGAATTCTGGCTAATCTGCTGAGGATAACGGAGAAAAAGGATGGAAAAACCTATTGTGGCTGAGCTCTTTGAACCGCTGAACCAGACCCCTTGTTATGAGATAACTACAAGGGCTCAAGGAATAAGCCACTGGTAGCCTGGCGTTTGCACCCAAACACATCCTAACTGATACATCTCAACTGGGGGTAGGAGGGTCTGTCTCCAGTCTTTCCTCCTGGTGCCCTCTTAAATGCCGTTACAATTATTCTTTACATCCCAAATCTGAATGCATAACTCCCAGTCTGAAATCTCTAAAGATACTTTTCTGGCCAAAGATCAATGTCCAACCCCCTCACCCACCGAAGGTTCTATTATCTTGACTCAGGAGTATCTTGCTTGTCCCTAGGGACACTATACTGCGTCAGGTCTGTGAGCCTTCATATGTGCTCTATTGCCTGCCTGAAATGCACTAACTTCCCTGTTCCACTCCTTACCCGGAGGCCCTGCAGGAGGAATTAGTCACATCTTCTCCTGTGTATGACAGTTGTGGAAGACTCTATAACTGTTCATCCATATTCTTTCTGGGGGAAGAACATATCCTCACTCTTTTAAACTCTCCTTGCATTGACCAATGAAATCTGAGCCGAAGTAATACATGATACTTTGAGGCAGAAGTTCTAAGAGCCGAAGCCTGGTTCACATGCTGTGATGTGACGTGGAAGCAGGTGCGGCGCTCAGCCAGCCTGGGTCTGTGAGCACAGCTCCCCTACTGACCCATGGCGCACATGTAGTCTGAGCAAGGTAGAAATCTCAGTGTTGTAAGCCAGAGTGGACACGCTTTTTCTGTAAAGGGCCAGATGATAAATATTTAAGCTTTGTGGGCCACACATGGTCTTTGCCACATATTCGTCTCCTTTTTTTAACAACCACCTAAAATGTAAAAAACATTCTTTGCTCCCAGAACATACAAAAACAGGCCACAGATGGATTTGTCCCACAGGCT